AGAATGACTATCCAAGCATTTAAAGATGTCTACTTAATTAATATAACGTCAAAGAACCTACTACAGAAACCATGAACTAGATTGTCCTATAGTGAGTGAAAATATCTCCCAAACTATCATAAAATTCTAGAGTCTTTTGAAATCATCACTACTTTCAAACCAGCACAATCACTTCGTTCTATTTTACAGATACAACAGTGAGAGGTAATAAATCCAATAATAAGCATCAGATACATTTCAGAATAAGATAAATTGATTTAGTTTTGTTATACTCCAGAAATTAACAAGAGGTGAAGTTTTGCAGAAATGAACTTCTACAAAGGTGATGCTTTTCTGATGACAGGATAAAAGTGTCTGTGGTAATTCAACTTTAGTTATTACAGAATTCATTCATAGCTTTTAATCAGTTCACTAAAACCCACCTATCATTTTAAATTTTCATAAACTAAATAGCTTGATTACATTTGGGTAAATGTTTCTTATCTCTTGATAACTATTTGTAACAGTACTCCCTTTCTTTAAAAGGTCAGTTTTTGTTTGGCAGATAAAAACTCAACAATCTTAAACATTATGTTAATTAGCTTCATTCATGTCCTGTTACGGTTTTTAATGATGTTTACTCTTGACAATACTGTCTTGAATATGTAAAATGATTTGTTGTTTGTAATTGATGAGATGCCGCCGAAATAAAATCGATTTTGAAAATTTTATTAGTTTTAGCTTGAAAAAATTTCTTCATTCCTTTTTATCTTTTAATCTGTTTGCTTATTTTCGTATCTCATTATTACAATTAACACTATGTGAATACTTAACTTGATGTTTCATAGGAATGTTTTACCGGATAATTCTAGCTTAGTAATTCAAGAAGGGCAATAGTTTGTTAGATGATGTTTCATACTTCAATGTTGTCATTAGATTATCAATTGTTCATTTCATTAAATAAGATAAATCAAATACAATATATGTGAAATGTTTTCATCAATCAATTCATAATATAAATTATTGGATATGCTTTCAGGTTTAAATGTATACAAGCAAAGATCTATAGTGGCTAACAGTGGAATCCACGCTTGTGAATTAAAGCGATATCGAGGCAATACACACAGTATGCACATATGCCAACAACACAATGATCAATTGCAGTATTAAATATCAATCGAAAGATCCAAGTAAAACAATATCAAGTGAATTTAAACTTCACCCCATTGCACAAGCAGATGGCTATCAGAGCTCAGTAGTGGAATGGATAACGTGATGGCGTTTGAAACGATCGGTACTGGCTTTGAGTGCCAGAGTGAACATCAACTATGAGATGCAGATACATTCATTTGACGTGTCCCAGATAGGATGAAACACGCGTCCTGGATTCTACTGCTAGTTACTATTCATCTTTGCTTATAAAATAAATAGGTAGAAAACTAGATCTGAAAACATGAATTTCACTCGTAAACTTTCAGGATTAAATTTAATTATAAAATCAATGAGAATTTCATTACCTATTATTGTATGGGACAGTTTTACTTATATTTAAATAATATCGGTTATTACGTTAATTGTAATGCTAATTTAAGAAAATTGAATCCATGAGAGTTTAGATACTAGGTCAATAAATTGATGAGAATACATTTTAAATAGCTCAGTTTTCACGGACATATACAACCAACTTTTTAGGTCAAGTAAGGATATGATAAGAATATGATAAGTAAGCTCATAAAGCTTATTGTCCATTCAGGAATATACAATAATGAAAGATTTCCTCTTAGGTTGATTGACAGTAACACAAAATTAAAGTTATGGATGGGAAGCGCCCTAACAATAAAGGAAAGATATTTTGTTTGTGAACACTGAATTTAAACTATTGGTCTTCAAAAATGGATTTATGATAACTCTTAAAAAGATCCATCAATCGCCCGAACTCCGAATTCTAGAATATGCCACATATAAATTGCTACTATGAGCTACCATGGTGTGCATATTTCATATTATGTCCTTGAGTACATTAGGTTATATTTGCATCAAAATCTAGGCATTTTTCGAACAGAAATAGGAGAACTATTTTACGTATCTATCTAAAGAAGAATTCAAATCAGTCAACAACTTTATGGTTAATCATTAGGTCAACTGTAATCACGTATCCCGCGTCCTTGAATCTTAAATTGTCTTATAACTTCAATAACGACGTTATATCTCTCAACTAATTTTTTTAGAAAATACTGAGTCAAATAACTGTAGATACAGTTGTATAGCCTTAGTAAACGACATCATTAGAAAAAAGCTGTTTACTGAACTGTCTGTATTTCGCTTAGGCGTATAATAGTTCGGTATCAGACAGGATATGTTAAGGTGATAGGGTGATAGTTGTATCATAATTATATTACTTATAATTTGCGGTTTTCAGCTAAAGATAATACTCAATTCACCACTTATTTGAAGTCATAATAATTAATGGCAACTGGACAAGCAAGTGACTTTCAGGACTCAGTGGTTAAGTGGATAACGTGATGGCGTTTGAAGCGAACGGTACTAGGTTCGAGTCTAAGAGTGAACATGAACGCTGAAATGCAGGCACATCCAGTAGACGAGTCCCGAATAGGACGAAACACGCGTCCTGGATTCTACTGCTTATAAGGCTTGTGACTTCAATCAATATCGAGGCAGTCCACACATGATGCACATATGCTAACAAGAGATTGTTCAATCGCAGTCCTAAATAACAATGGGAAGATACAAGTAAACAACACTAAACCAAATAAATACAGTTTAATTTTTATCTGTTGTTGAAATCATTTTTATTGGTGAACCATTTATGACGCGATAGACTGATATTATAAACAAGTGTAATGGCCTTCAGAAGTGTTCACTCAAAAAACCACTAACGATTAAGCCTAAGAATGTCAGATCTCGCCAAATACAAAAATAACATAAGACCATTGAATCATTATCTAATAGTTCGCACATTCAACTTAGGTTCTTAGAAAAGTATTATCTCAGATGTTCAGCATTATAGTTTGCTCCGGAATCACTGGATTGCTATCAAGATAACCATTGGAATAAAAATATAATTTATTTGTTTTGCATTTGAAATAACTTGACATCAAGAAGAAAGTGCGGGGTTGTGGCGATTGTTAATTTTTTGCTTGAGATCATGAATCGATGTATGTTGGACCACAAATGAAAACCTGGAAGTACTAGACGGCCGTTTCGTCCTAGTGTAGGACTTCTCAGAAATGTGCGTCCACGGTCTCGCACTCAAACCCAGGATCTCCGGTCTCGAGCAATCAGTGGGGTTAATCTGTGTCAGGTAGAAACAGGTATCTACCTCAGATAATAGAAAGTGTTGGCGTAAATTCGTCCTTTTTTGTTAAAGGTCTTAAGGCTAAGCATTCGCTCGTGATACTGAAGGTCCCTTCTGGGGCAGAATTGTGGATGTGCACTGCCGAAGAGTCTCATACTGGGACGAAACGGCCGTTCAGTACTTCTAGGTTTTCAATAGTGGTCGAATATTCATCGATGCATGATCTCAGTTAAAAGCTAAGAGGAAAGGCCGATCCTATTCATATATCATTTGACATAATACCTAAAATTGGAGTGAACGTTAGTCAGTTATCTGGAGAACAAAACAGATGAATAGTTAAGTCTTTTGCATACTTCATGCTTCGCTAATCCATGACGTGACTTTATCCACATAAACTTTCACAAGAAGTAATTTGAAATTATTTTTGATTTGCTCCATAAGACTGATTTTTAAAATTTAGGTGATCATTGAGCAATGAAATAATGTTCGTCATTGATTATAATGAGTCTTGAGAATTTGTAAATGCCGCTAACAAACAGTACATAACCAGTCAGGATTTAACGTAAGTTATTCTTACAATAAATAGATAACTTTTTTTAACTTTAACTGATAAAACGGAATAACAAAGAATAAATATTTACCATCAATAAACAAGTTTGATCATGTTATCACCTAGAACAATTAGTTGGTTTTATGTGGGTACTTTTCCCAACGAAAGCTTAAATATTGATTTATTTTTGTATAAAACTGACATATGTTTTTATTGAATGTTCTGAGTAGGACATCAATTCAGAACAATAATTATTCCCTTCAATTGGATGAAAAAGGTTATCCTATAACAAGTATAATTATTAATATTAATAACTGTTGATTAAATAAAACTATCAAAAGTAGTTCCAACATATTTGGTAAAATGTGTTGTTTGTATAAATTAATGATTGCTTTGTACTAGATGTGTACCTGATTTCGAATTCTAAATATATTCCATTCATTTGTGCTCTCCCAGTTCAGTTTGATTGAAATTGCGCTATTTTGGGGATTTCTATTTCGTATAATGGTGAGATTATAATTTATGGACGATCTTTGAGCAACGATAAAATGACTTCGAAATGTCCATCTGCTTACTAGAGTTATAAATATGTGTGAAGAATAAAGATTATGCTTTACAGTTGATGATAAGGTTAAGGATTTAGAACTGACATCAGCTAATATACCAAAAAACTATTTAGACAAATAAATGAATGAATTTTTTGCACCAAAATCGTGTGATGAATATTAGTCAAATGGATTGTAGTTTAATATATTATAGCTGGTAATAAAGTGTGGATAAGCTTAGGAAAAAGTCACTTTCAAATTTACTCATTATTACTGTTAATTTCTCATTTCTAATCATACATATATATTCTATTGATTACAAGAAACTAGTTAATTATTATTTTAGTGTTGCTAAATGTTAATCTAACTGCTAAACATCAACAGATGTTTTAGTTGTCTATAATTTATCCGAGTTATAAATTATGTTGAACTATTAACCGAAAGTATTTTATATATTCTTTACATTACTATCTTGGACTAATGAAGCACTTTGTTGAAATGTAACTGAAAATACCAAAGGGATTAGACTAAAGAATAAACTAATATATATATATATATATATATATATATATATATATTTATATATGGATAACGTAAAACAGTTACTTACATTTGCCAAGAAAGTATTTGAAATACCATCTTGTCTCTCGTTCAGGATTTTCTAAATGTAATGGTGTAGTATTAGTTTTAAAATTCATTCCTGAATTATTATTATTATAAATTGAATATGGATCATGATCAAACATAAAGTATTCATCATCAAAATTTGTTACATTAGTACCTGTTTCAAATGATTGTAATTGTTGCATTGTTGAAATGGATTGAATTTCAGAATTATATAATTGATTTAATCCAATTTCATATGATGATCTTTGTGATTGTTTTTGATTTTGATTTGTAAGTAAATTATCCCTGAAATGATTAATAAGTTGTGTATCACTAAATCCACTTGAATGAAGATTAGAAATTCTTTCATTTGATTGTGATTTATCAGATCTAGATAAATAATCATTATGTTTAATACGATCATTATCATTAGTATTTTCAATATTTTCAATAGATAAATGATTTTTTGTTAATGAATTAAATGAATCTTTCAGTTTTATTGATAAATCAAATGATATTGAATTAAGATAATTAGGTGAAGATTCTTTTATCTTTCTATTAGGTACTATATTAATCTCTGAACGAAATCTTCCGGCATTATTTATATATCCATTTGATTCACTTGTTAATGAGGTATTTTCAGATAAATACATCTGTATATTAATATAGAAAAAAAAATTATTTTTTTTCGTAGCAATCAAATTAAATCGATATTTTTCAGGTTAAATTATATTACTATTATACCATGACAACAATTATTGTAATGATAATAATAATAATAATAGTAATAATCAATAGAATAGAAAATTCATTGATTTATTAACCAAATGGGATCAAAAAAAAGAAAAGAATACTCAACAGTATTACTGATCATTAAATCATTTTCATTGAAATAATTCACCTCATTTAAACACTATAAACTTATATTATTATTGAAACAAATTATATATCAATCAAAAGCCGAATCAGATTAGTTTCTTCACTATGTATATTTGTATATTGATAAAAAAGATCTCTTGAAAACTCGTTATTAAATTTTATAAATTATATCAAGAATTTAATAAAGCTGACATTTTTTCCCTTCATGTATGTATACTATTTAATAATCGATAAGGGTTTAGCTTATCAATATAATATGCTGTTAGCCTATAGGCCACATAAATGGAGAGAAAAGTTATACATAGACCAATTGTGTGGTATATATATACATATATACATATGTATGTATATATTTGTATCATTTAAACAAAATAACAAACTGAGTAAAATAGATTAGAGAGGTAGGCATTATATTTACTTTGGATTGAGTAAAATAGTTTAGGTGGGCGGTTTTATTCTCTACAATATATAATATAAATACGAGTAATGATGAAGTGAATAGTGAAATATATTATAATGAATAAATTAGGCGATAAATATTGTGGACACATTTAAACAAACAAGATATATAACAGAACAATAAAATAAAAAGTTATCTTTGGCTATACAATTAGGGATGAGCTATGTGTATGTGGTCTGATTAAAGGATAGGCACAAATAATTTCTAGCCATAACGAGTATTGATCACAAAAGAGGAAATAATAGTAATAACAATAACACATGATAGTCATCTGATTGAATATGAGTAGAGAAATTACGATTAATATTATAGTGAAATAAACAATCCATACAAATCATTAATAATAATAGCTGCTGATATAAATAATCAATTGTGATGAAAGCAATTTTTCAATATTCCAGTCCTGGTTCAGTCTATTCAGATACAGTTAGTGGTGAATACGTCAAATCAACTTGATGTAATCAAACAAAAAATAATGTCAGAAGCGTTTTTTTTTTAGAGATTTTATTAATTTAATAGTTGAATTCATGAATTAATTAAAGCTAGATCACCATGGAAAACCTGGAAGCACTGAACGGCCGTTTCGTTCTAGGATGAAACTCCTCAACAGTGCGCATCTACGATCACGCCCTGGGGGATTAGAACACAGGATCTATCGGTTTTGTGCGCGAGTACTAAATCTCTAGGCCACTGGTGAGGAGTCCCATACTAGAACGAAACGGTCATCCAGTGCTTCCAGGTTTTGCATAGTGGTATAGCTTTAATTGACTCATGAATCCGACTATTAAGAAATTTGCATACAAATTTAAATTCTCCAGCATCCTATACAATAATAATTACTATTTGACAATAATGAAAGAATTTATTGTTTCAACAAATTAAAATCTAAATAAATACTTGAGAATAATGTATTCAGTATAATTAAGTTAAAATTTATATCGGTCAGTATTTTGCAAAATATGATCAATAAATGGAAATAATTAATTATTAATGACAGAACTGACAGATAGATGATTAGTGTTTTCAAGAAATAAGGATGAGATTCAATATGATCTTAGTAAAACGAGTCACATTCATTATATACTATATAGGACATTGTCTTTTTTACTTGGATTGATAAAGAAAATGGGGATTTACGTTGTGTAATGGTTTACATAAAACTCATCGGTTAATTGTGCTAGTAATCTAAGCGTTAAACCAAATTAACTTCACTTTCAAAATAATGTAGTAGTTAATAAGATCTGTATTATGGGTTCTTTCAAGAACCATTATCAAATACATTTGGTTTATAGCCAAAGAAAAAAATGATTCTCATACGTCTGAAAGGGTATCTACTTGAATCTCGTAAATTATCATCTTGAAAGCCTGAACACAAATAACCAAATGTATAAGGTTTATAATAAAAGAACTCTTCTTAATCCAGTGAGAAACTCCGTAAAATAGTCTACTCAATTATTTAATGTAATGTAATAAGGTACATTCAACTAGCAGACTTTGAGTAGTAAATTTGATTCTATTCCACCATGTAAACATGTGTAGTAGTCATAACAACAGTAGTTACGACATACGGCTTGAAACATTGCGGAATTTTGCCTGCAAAAGTATTTATTATTATACAGTTAGCTTATTCGGACCATTTTAATTTACTTTAAAACATTTCACAGTACAGTGATTCATTGTGTAGTAGTAGATAAAAACACGTAAAGAGCATTGGAAACAAAGTCCACCTGGAAAGATTGTTTATGTTTTCAGAGTAATCTATGTTATCTAAAAATGGTCAGAAAGAAACAACAGCAGTTACGTTATGTGGTTTACACTTTGAATGAATATCTCGAATGTCTATAATCACAAAATATTGGAAAGTGTTTGCTCTTGTTGATGTAATTTCTGAAATTAAACTGTATTTAAATGTGAAAGTCAGTCGAAAGCCAAGTATACTTTGTCGATTCCCGCGAAATATGAATAATTCCTACTATACATTTTGAAGCATGACTAGAGGATCCTAAATAAATATTCTTCTTTTTCCAATAACATTCCAACTGTAAAATTAAATTCAGGGTTTCGAGTAGACGTGAATATATTAGCGAAATATATTTTGCTACTTACAAATTAAAAGTAGTAATATAGTATATGCTTAAATATATAGAGCTTACTTCATTTGCCGATTTGTATCCAAGCTTCCTAAATAATCTTCTTCTCATGTCAACCCTTGTTTTATTCGACCTGAAGGATAAAATAAACGAATCCTGTTTATAGAAATGAAGAAGGATGATTTAGCATTTGCTTCTGTATGGTGAGTGATTAAATTAACTTTCAAGTACTTGAAGTACATAGATTCAAACTACCTCATTCAATGAACGAAAAAATATTATGAGGACAAAATGCGAAAATATCGAAAAGAAACTGATTATGGAATTCCCAACAATATAACAAACTTTAAATCTCTTTACTTTTATCAGCCGGTTTCACCAATGATCATTGATCAGGTTTCAACTTTGTTAGTTTAAATGTTGAGTTTATTTTTTTAAAAAAGCATTGAAAATATCTTACAGTTACTCGTGATAGTATTTAAACTTTCCCCACTCTTTTCAACATTATTTTGGCGTACAGATAGTTTTATTAAACTTACTTGACTTTATATCTTTTATAATCATTTTTCACATCCAAATAATTTGTAGAGGCTGGTACCATGTCCAGCCCACATAGGTCATTTTAACCTCTGGTTTGGTTACTTTATTCATTCTTCTCAAGTCACATTTTTGCCCTGTCACTTATTTGCTTACTAATCCTGACTGTGTTTCATATGGCCGTATGTTTGCGGATTACTGACTCTATTCGTCATGTGTCTGTGACTTATTTTTGTCTGATTATAAATATTGAGTCATGCTTAATATAAACGAGTTGCCTCACATTCCTTTTCCACCGCCCATCATTCCGTTTCGCTTTATTCTCGTTTGATCGTCTGTCTGGATCACCAACGCAAGTTAAGTCAACAATTTTATACGAGGGTATTGAGGATGAATATTTTGGTAGCAGTAATTCTATAATGATCATTTTCCAATCCGACCGGAGTTAGATATAGGACCACTAAAAATTTAGAGAAACTCTAAATTAGACAACTTTATGAAGAGTGTAAGTTTTATTTTGTGAACAAATACGATTTGCCCTTTAAAGCAAATGTTGTTTTATCCTAGAGCATCAAAGCCAATGAAAATTATCTTTGAAAGTATATTACGAGTAATGTGATAGACCTAAAGTTGATGACGTACCCAGATCATGGTTATGTCAATGCTTTACAAAAAGGAAACAGTGTAAGTTAAACTGAAAGAATTAACATAATAACAGGAATAAAAACAGTTACTGGCAGTTGGAAAAATAAAAGTCTGAAATTTTCTGAAACGAAAGACTGTTATTCTCTTTTAATCAAATGGAACACTATGAGAAAATGAACCTCCTTTACGTGTATTCATCAATATATAAATAAACCGTTATAAGTCAATGTAGCTCACAAAACATAAAAATTATTAGATAAATGTTAGTTATGTAAAAATCTGAATAAATATGAAACTGTTGAATACCGTAATATTCTAGACATAAAAATAAATTCCAATGTGAGTTGGTTAGTGAATTTCGGTTTATTTATTTCCAGAAGTCGAGTGTAAATAAACGAAGAGTTCCAAGCTAAAGTCAGGTACATACACCTCCGTAAACTCAAGATAATAGAGAACCAAGGAGTGGATAAAGAAATAGTAATGAATTAAAAATTCCTTATCGAAATGAAACTTGAATGGCGATAGAAATGCATTGACATGCTAACATTTTTCTTCAACTTTGTTTAACTACTATTTATAAGCAAGTAATAAGTTTATTTTAGGAAAAGCAAATTCATGGCCTTTCAAAGAGTAATATTTAATTAGTTAAGATAATATTTAAAATTAACCTCAATATAAATTTTTTATTCCTTCTTGTTCTCCTTCGAAATTGTTACACAGTTGTTACGTGTAGTCATCCTAAACATCTTTACTTATTAATACATTTCATTAGTTTTACAATTTGATTTCAGTTTCATTGAGAAATAACACATAATGCATACATAATCTTGATAGATTTTAATCTATAATTCTACATGTGTATTCTATGATTATCCCATGATATCTCAAAATAAAAACAAACATCCTAATTAAGTTGTTTTAATACAAACTAAACTATATTGTTCATCAACAATTTTGAAATGAGTTTAAATACCTTTCAGTAGTGTAAAAATTGAATTTGTTCAAGAAAACATCAGTTTTAAACTACTATTTACTTTACTAGATAGACAAAGTTTGATGATCTTATCACTATGTATAGTTGTAGTGGTATACAACACAAATTAATAGGGTTTTGTTTTAAAATACTAGTCTTTAATCTTCAATGTAAATAGAAAACAATGTCAGGAACATGGGAAGTACGCTTTTCGTTTTTCTAGTGTTCTGAGAATTCTTTATATCAGTATTTAAAGATTCAGTCTTTCTAAATATGTAATTTGATTTCATCATTCTGGTTGAAGCTTTCAACGTTTACCTATTTCTGTTCAGCACATGAAAGAATGAATAATCCTTTTTTGAATATGTTATAGATGCATGACTGCATATTTACAATTCGTGAAAACCGATAGACTTTTCAAATGCTCAGCCGTATAAAGGTAATTAGATACTAGGTACACCTTATAATACCCTAATTTAGCTGTTCACTCTATCACATCGTTATTGTTAACTTTATTTACAATTACTCTTTACTATAAGTACTACCATGATTTATATGACAGTGAATTGAGATGTAGAGCTGAAAAATTGTTAATTTCATACCATATATTTAAAACAGCGGATAATCTAACAAAATTTCTATAAGACTGGATAATCATAACAATATAATACATGAGTAAAGTATAGTCCATTTTTACTATTGGTTCATTATCATGTTTGTTTTTCCTAACAAATGAATTCCAATGGTCAAATAAGATCTCAGGATAGACAGACATCATCGTCCATTGCGAGACATTTGATTGAGACTGGTCATAAGGTTGACATCAAGTCGGCATTTGTAATGTTATATAAAAACCTTAAGTGACTTATACTGAGGTTTATTGAAGCCTTGGCCATACGGAAACTGAAATCCTCTTTATACATTGAAAAATAATTTCTCCTTACACATAACCTACTCTTGTAATACTGATTTATTATCCAAAGTGGTAGTCACATTGTTTCTGTGTGCTTTATTTTTCATTGTTACAGCTCACCTTTGACCTGTCTGGTTGACCTATTAATTTCCATATAAAAATGTCTTAACAAGTATATGTGTGATCAGATTGATCGAAATGTATTGTGGAAATATATCATATAATTCTGATAAACTTCTTCTCATTGCATTATCGAAATTTCCTAATTTTGACTGAATTATATGTAAACATTTTAATGGAAATATTAGTTTATGATCTGTGGATGGAATGTTTTGTATGATTTCATGTACACTTTGCTATGTATATGTATTATTGAAATTTGCATTTGTATATATCGAATTTCGTAATCATGACTATTTGTTTAATTTTACCATTATTACTTTCAGTTTTCTGATTTCTATTTCATCTTTATCAATATATGCTACTATATCACGTTATTCAAAGTAGTCTAAAAGTAATATTGTGGCATACCATTTAATTAATATTGATAACTATGATTGAAATAAGATTAAGAACATAATATTGTTTTGAAGAAAACATGGTTTTCTTGTAGTATATCCACACATTCTATTGTTCTTCTTTACACTGTATAATCATAACCTTCGTTTGACATATCATTTCCTTGATTACTGAAAGTTTACCCACACATAAAAGTATGTTCATATCCGAGAAGGGTTTTTTGTGGATATTATAGTAATTTAATAGTTAAATTCATGAGTCAATTGAAGCCAAACCACGATGAAAAGCTGGAAGCAGTGGACGGCCGTTTCATCCTAGTATCGGACTCCTCAACAGTGCACATCCACGATCCCGTCCTGCAAGATTCGAACCCAGGACCCACCAGTCTCGTGCACGAATGCTTAGCAACCAGGCCACTGAACTGGCACCAAACGGTGTTATTCCAACTTCCTATCTATCATAAACTGAAATCAGCTCACAAACTAGTAAAAACATGAATGAAATAAAATAATTGACTAATCTCCGAAAATAGGGATCTACTACTGATATAAAATCTAATCTACGAGCAATGTCTAATGTGACTTAAACAATCAGTTAATAGTTTTGTATAGACCTTATTCAATATTATAATCAATGAAAATTAACTTATGTTTATACAGATGATACATATGACTGATAAAATGTTTTTTTGTATTCATCATTTATAAATGAATTCTTTGAAAATATACCATACTTTGTACATCAATTGAAGTTGTTTAATGGGAACTATGTTATATTAAGTGAAGAGAAATTATTGTTACCAGTACTAAAATCATGTACTTTACAAATAAATATCACGGTATGTATTCCATCGATAATTCTATGATTTGAAATAATCTCAATCTTATATTTAAAATAGACCTTATACATTATTACCAAAAACTGTCACAATCAATGGGTTACGTCTTTACTTAATTAAATGTTAACATTGCCTTAATTTTAACCTGATCATATCGCATAATTGCTGATGGTATGGTGTATGCTATTAATGTTGACAGATATAAGTAGTATATATATCATCAGTCAAAAGTGAGATACCTGGCGGTATAAGGTTAGCAAGATCAAAGGAAATAGGATGAGAAAAAAGAATAATTAGTGTAGAAACGAAAAAATAACAACAATGAAATGTGAGATATTTTACAAAGGAAGTATTTACTATATCATTCTTAGATTTTACTGAAACATTCTATAATTTTGTATTTAGACACATCTGATTATCTCCGCTTGTATTCTTGTTCTTTACAATTAAATCAAAATATATTATTACTATTTATTATTAAGTAAGCAATGACGTTTATGCTTCTGTCATTGAAATGAATGCAGATGAATATACATTATTCTTATATTATGGTTTACATAATTTATTTTTTTCTTTCAATGATTATAATTTCAGAGTATGTATTTATATTAACAAACGGATTATCTTTCTTCTAGGGTATACCTTAGATATGATGTTCTTATTGTTATAACATATGCTAAATAATCTGAATACTATTGAATTAATTTA